GTTCGATGGACTTTGCCATGACTGAGTGAATGTGTGTGAAAGGGCGTCGGAAGACTAGAAAGGCGCTATACAAGTACAGGTCCATTATCATTTACCATAAAAGGAGTCCACCTGGGCAAGGACTGGTTTTCCAGTTCCTGGGTCCAAATCAGAAGATGGCCAAGTGCAATCTAGAGGAGAGATGAGAAACACACAAATTAATCAAATAGAAAATGTTAAAACCCAAATATTTTCTTAGGCTTCCTTCCAGATCTAATGTAACTTAAACGCAAACATAATACAATTTCCCTTACCATGTTTTAACCCAATATCTGTACTAATTACTAATTGCCTGCCGGCAAGATGGTATGTAAAAAGTGGCTGAGGTGGACAAGCACTTTATGTTGTATCTCATTTAAATTACAGGTCACGGGGCATCCCCATGACAGTGATCATGACTAGGGATGGGAATCGAGAAGAGGTTCCAGATGAGCACTGGTAACAAATTGTCCGATCCATCGGAATTGTATGCTGCCGAGCTTATCAATTCCTTTTATCAATGCTGGATTATGCGTCTATGCTGAAACCTGCAGCAAGAAGGAGTTATGACGGAAAGAAGGAAACGGTCCAAATCGTGGCCTCATTTCACAAAGAAACTATACAAATTTCATCAGGAATCAATAAGGGAATTAGCAAAGAATGCAAACAGTAAGCAGAATCAATAATGGTATTGTTAAATACATTACAAATTGGTAAATTAAAATGCCTGTACACTGTGGAAGTGTTTGAATGTGCCGTGTTTGCTGTTTGTTGCTCAGCTGCATGAGGTATATTAAATTTAATTGTGGTATGTCATGTTAAAGGGTCCAAACTGATTTAATTTAGCTGGCTAAGAGGCTAGAATGTAAACACTGTGGCCCCTCCTCTCTATGTTTGTGTATGTGTGGTGAGGATGGGGGTTGGGTTTTTCTTCATTAACTGCAGTCATTCTGTACAGTGTACACATTAATTGAGTAGACCTTTACCTTTCCTTCAATTATTTTTGATATATTTCAATATCCATCTAGCTTAGTAATGGTAAGCTTAGTAGTCGACTTAGTAATAGTGTCAACCCAGTGCAGGAGTGCAGCAAAATGCAGGAGGAGCCGGGGGCCTGCCCTCAGCAGGTTATTGCAACTAACACTCCAAAAGTGCGCAAAATTTAAATTTATGAATATGTATTCTTATGGCTTTTTAACTATTTTGGATTTTTTGAAGCACTTTTTGTGTGTAGTAAAAATATATATTACTGTACTACAAGTTCGACAAACGGTCACCAAATTTTATTGATATTATATTATTTAGGCAATACATTTACCATTTCATATTGCAAATATGTGGGTCCAACTCAGGTTTTTTCAAATACCACAAACAAGAGTTTGAACTGCACATACTGTGTATTGAGAAAGGCTTTGTGTTAGCAGTGGAGGTCGATAAGCCAGAGCTAACTGTAAGGTATGCACAGGCTGGTGGAATTTTTTAAAACAACTTTGTACCAAAATACAATTTTCACACAGAGGAAGCTACCTACACCCAGAGCATAACTTTCCACCATTTAATCATCCAGGAAATTGGCTTCTGCGTGTCTGTGTAGAGAAACATTTAGGTTATAATTAAATATACATGTGCACATTTACAATTACAAAAAGTACCTCTGATACCAGTTGTACTACCTAACTTCTCTACTTTATTCTTCTGAGAGGAACTTAAAGAGCAGCAGTTTAGTAAATGAGTTTGTCCTATATGGGATAAGTTGTGGTCTCTCTTGTCTCTGTTTAACTGGTGTATTGAGTCAACTTCAATATGTTTACATGAGAGTAAAGCCTAAGAACAGCCCCACCACCCAACTCTAATAGACATAGACATAGACATAGACTATAGACATAGACATGTTTATTATATTGTTCTACATGCAGAAATATTTCTTCTAAACCTGTAATCTTCAGGTTTGGACTGTAATGTAAATCCCCTGGATTTGAACAACTCTTAAAATGTCCGACTTACTTACTAGAAGCTGAGATAAGATTGTACTACTTCCTCCTTAACTACCTAGATGTATCTATTTTTCCATTGCCAATATAATTCTATTTTTTTTTGCCCTGTATTAGCAGTTCATGACTACTGTTCAGCTATAGAGTGAGGAGGATTGTTAATGATTTAAATTAATGCACTCTGTTATTAAAATCAAAGACATGATACAAAACGTAGATTATTTCATTCTATTAGAACAATCAGAATCAGAAAAATACTTTATTGATCCCGGGGGGAAATTTGTTCGTTACAGCTGTTCAAGGTGCTCATATGACATTAAGAATAGACTAATAATTATATTACAATTTCTAACAATATATCTAGAAATAAAAATAGAAATTTATATATCTGTATACAATATATAAAATAAAAATAGAAGCTTATCAAATATAATAAATGTATGTATGTACATTATAACACGATATGACAATATATAGAGCTAGAACTAAGTATATGACCAACAGAAGTGTATGAATGAATGAAAAAATAGTTGAGTACTGATTCAAGTCAATTCAGTTTTATTTGTATAGCACCAATTCATCTCAGGACACTTTTCAAATAGAGCAGGTCTAGACCGAACGACAGACAGACAGACAGACAGACAGACAGACAGACAACGGGGGACAATGAGCAGTGTCAAAAGTAATAATAGTAACTGTAGTAATAGGCGGAGGCGGCTGTGGCGCAGAGGCAGAGCAGGTCGTCCCCTCATTGGAAGGTTGTTGGATCGATCCCTGGCTCCTCCCGCCACATGTCGAAGTATCCTTGAGCAAGATACTGAACCCCAAATTGCTCCTGATGCTGTGCATCGGTGTATGAATATGTATGAA